TGTGTGTGTGTGTGTGTGTGTGTGTGTGTGTGTGTGTGTGTGTCAGCTATGACTGAGGAGGAAGTGGATGCAGCCAGCTGGAGACAGTATCTGATGCTGGGTCAGATTACATGGAGTAATCCAACACTCATTGGCTACCAAATGTCACTTAATGTCATCTCCATCTGGCCTTTATGTTTATGTGAAACTATAAAACAGAAGGAAAATGTGGTTTAATGTTTAATGGCTTGGCTACTTTGGGTTGTATTAGCAGGAGGATACAATCTGTGAGCTCCACCACAGAAGGCTCCAGCAGGAGCATTTTATGGACAACTGCACCAAAGTAAATGGTTAACCAGAGGTCGAGCACATTGGACGGCTCTGTCCTGACCAGCTTTAATCAAACTGTAAACTTCTTTGTGACAGGAGGCCGTTTGGATGTTGGAGCTCTGCTCTGCTGTTAACAGCATCTCATGGCTGCTGATTCCTAGCTCTGTGCGCTCATTGCCCCAAGCCAACACAGAATCGCTCCAGACATGTGGCCTGCAGGTTTTAACCAGATTATACTACGAAAACAACATCTTTTGCCTGTGTGTTTGACATTTCTCTAAACGGAGGCTTTATTTAATCCCACCCAAGTAAGAGCACAGGATTCTCTGTTTCTGTGCCATTTGAATCTTGTTTCTGCAGCTTCTTCATGTTTGCTCCATTAGTGTTGTCATGTTGGCTCCATGTGAAACAGAGATCGTATCATAAAAGCCCTGATATGGATTGTTTCTACCATAAGTTGACTTTAAACAGTCTGTTCAGGTTCCTTGATTTTATGAACACTGAGCTAACTCCTGCTCTGACTGACCTTCTGACCTCCGCTTAAAACACTTGTTGTTTAGGATCATACTGTATTGTACTGTACTGTATTATCATACTGTATACCACACAAACAAGTGACTTACTGGTGCTTTTGGGTGAACTGTGTGAATTCAAAAATCCCTTTTTCATGGTTATAATATTTCTGTAGCTGCAGGCTCTTGTCTACATTGTTGGGTTAAGCATCCATCTCTCTAATATTCTGACCAACAGGTCAAGGTAAAAAAGGCAGTGCTATAGTGGAGACACTGACACCATGGATACCACAGCTAGTTATTAACTTTTATTTAAACTGGGGTGCAGGTTTTGGCTAATTAAAGTCAGAAGAAATGAAACGCCGTGTCCTTAGTAGAATGAAAGCCAAATAAGTGAGGGATGCATCTTACATCCAAAGTATGCCTAATGGTCTGGTTACAATTTGTCAGTCGCAAAAAGCATGCTCTGCCTTTATCATCTATTTTAACGAACCAAAGTATGAACAGAGAGATATACTTAAGAAGGCCTTTATGCAATAAATTATTTAAAATGATTAATAAGATCATTTTCTTAAACTTGACCCTGATGACCATTAGAGAGAATTCGAGACTACTGACTCAGTTTTTAGATGCAGAGGCTCGACTGCATCCACAGTTTTGCTGGTTGAAGATGTGATCACCAGGTAACCTTTTGTTCCCAGCTAGTTGACATCCTATTTTTACTCTAGTGTGATGTAGTCCCAAAATATTAGAACAGCAACAGGTTATAAATGACTTTAACAGAAGTTCAAAAAAGCCTTAATTTATTTGATTAGCAACAATCTGTGATTCCCTGTTTTCTCAAATCAGAACAACAGTTGCCTCAATGTGCTTTATATTGTAAGGTAAAGATCACACAATAATACAACAGACAAAACCCTGAAAATCATGTGACCCCGTATAAGCAAGCACTTTGGTGCCAGTGGGAAGGAAAAACTCCCTTTTAACAGGAAGAAACCTCCTGCAGAACCAGGCTAAGGGAGGGGCGGGGCCATCTGCTGCGATTGGTTGGAGTGAGAGAAGGAAGACAGGATAAAGACCCTCTGTTAAAGAGAGCCAGAGATTAATAATAACTCATGACTAAATGGGGAGTGGTGAATAAACACCGTGAGAAGGTGACAGAGGTCTGCCTACATGATTCCAGTTGGATGTTGTTGAGTTTCTATTGCTTTGATGCCATGAGCATTACTCTTACTCTTGTTACTAGTCTTTACTCTAAATTATTTTTGTAGCAATAATAAAACCTTCTGCATCTAAATGTTCCATGTTGTCACTATCTGACCCGTTTTCACAGCACTGCAGAGGTTTTCTTTCTTTTTAATGTATTTCCTTCTCTCCTGGTTTAGTCTGGATCAGGACTGAGATTGTAACCTTAAACCCTTACACACAAACACACACTGAAACACGCACACAACCTTTGACTCTCTGGTTCTGTTGTCTCAACCAAACACTTGCAGTATTATACCATGTAGCAGAAAAGAGCTGTTGTTTTCGGGACTGAGCCTCTCTCTCCATTTGGGACACACACACACATACACTCAGTCTTTCTCACAGTGTGTGCTTGCAGGCTCGAGGGTTGTTGAGCACTGTTTTCACTGAGCCGCAGGTACACACAAGGAGACCGTCAAAGGAAATGACTTAATCACTCATGATTCTGGATGTAAGCAGGGCAGTGTTGGGAACAGGAGCTCAGGCGTGTCTTTAGGGGGGGTTGGTCCTACACGGGTCGGTATTAGAGAACAGTGATTTGTGCTTTGTCCACTGCAGACTGGTCCCCTGTTGTGCACCAGTGAATAGATGCCTGTTCACCCTGTCTCCTGTCTGTAAACATAGCAGGGTAATGAGCATCGATTATCACCTACACAAGTCCGTTTTTTAACCAAAGATTTCTTTATTTCTGGCCAGGCCTGGTGTTGGATGAGGTTTGGGCCACACCGTACGGTGAATATTGTTTCTAATACACTGAGCTGTATACTGCCTCAAGTGTCCTGTAGGTTTTAGATCTCACCCTGGGTGAAAATACCTGAATCAAATGATGAGTTCATTACCAGGCCTCTGGAGAACTTCAACACATGTTGAGGAGGTCATTTAGCCATTTGAATCAGCTGTGTTGGATCAAGGCCACATCTAAACCCTGCAGGACACCGGCCCTCGACACCTGTGGTTTATGGTCATGTCAAGGCTAAAGATCTGACCATAGAGAGAACCAGTGGAATTACATGATTCACAGTGAGCAAGGACTTGGCAACAGTGGGGAGAAAAAGACCCCCAAAACCTCTTTTTGCAAAACCAGGTTCAGGGAGGGCCGCCATCTGCAGGGAAGGCGTCAAAGAGGATGAAGATCTGTCTGTATTCTGACTGTGAAATCTGCTGGATCTTAAGTTTTAAAAACACTGGAGTATAGTAAGGATGCAGAAAATGCTAGCTTACTCTAGCTAGCTCTTACAATTATTGTACAATCTACTCTACAATATAGAGGTGACTGTTGTTGTGATTTGGCACTATATACATAAAACTGAATTGAATTGAACTTGAAAACTAAGTACCTGTAAACGCTCCAGTGGTTACAACCACTTCACCATCCCCATCTGTCCTGGCTGGTCAGTCATGTTCATGTCTCCACACATGATCACTGTGAATGCCTCACTAAAGCTGGATTTGTATTCTGTTGGGCTTTAGGTTTTGCAGATTGTCATCAGTGATGTGGCTTCCATTGTGCGTAAGATTACGAGTCAGCAAATCCCCGATTCAAAAGCACACAATGGTCAGGGATCTACGAGTGTGTGTGTGTGTGTGTGTGTGTGTGTGTGTGTGTGTGTGTGTGTGTGTGTGTGTGTGTGTGTGTGTGTGTTGGCGTATATCTGTATGGGCTTTTCTAAAGTGGCTGCTTGGCTTTGAGAGTGAGTGCATCGCATCGTACTAGCAGATGGCCTGAAGTGGTGGTGCATCATGTCAATAACATGAGAGAGCTTTTGTGCTGCAGTGCATTCAGAACTGTTGTATCCATGATGTTCTGTGTGTTTGTGAGATACTTTTGTAATGCTACGTTGCAGTGATGAGTTTAAAACTGGCAAAGAGTTTCTGAAGACAGAACCTTCTCCAACCACGTACATAGGCCAAAGTGATGCAACAAACCAACTCCCACCTTTATGCAGGAAACTTGGCTAAAAACTTACAGCTTCATAAATGTTCTTTGTGTTTGTAGGTGAGCTGTCACTCCTAGCCCACATCAGCCCATACACAGAGAGCAGGGAAGATGCCTACATCCAGCTGGAGCTGCGGATGTTGGAGCAGGCGCTCCTTGCCACCTGCGTTGGCAGCATTGGAGAGCTGAGTACGTGTGTGTTGTGTCAGTCAGCACAGTAGGCTCCTGTGTTTTGTGTGTGTTTATTTAAACTGTGACCGACGTCGGACTCCTGGGACACAGCGTTTCCACTTGGTTCCATAACCTGTGGCTTGTGTCCAAATAACAAGAGCACTTTCAGACCCTGCAGGCCACCGCACCTCATTATCTGGCACATAACCCAGGTAGCTACCACAACTAAAACAAGCTAGCTGCAGTAGGCTAACGTTAGCTTTTAAAAAGAACTTATTTCCAGATGTTTCTTTAGGTTGGAGTCTTTTGATGCTGAGAGCAGCTTGGCTGCACGGTCAGTAAGAAATGCATTCCTGCCTGTGCACTGCTGGCTCTGTTGTGCTGGCGCCGGGTCCATTGTGTAACTGACGCCACCAACATTAACAGGACACTTACATTAGAGCCTCTTAGCGTGTTTTGTTTGGGCTTCCTGCAATGCGTGGAATTACCACAATTAGAGAGGGGATGGGCTAACATATGAAACAGGAAATGACCGCCATGTAATGCATTTAACAAAGTAACTGTATTCTAATTATCACTTATTTAAGTGGTAACTGTAACAGAATACAGTTACTCATATTTTGTGTTTTTAAATACATAATGCTGGTACATGTACTCTGTTACTCCAGAACTCTGACTATTACAGACCCACTGTGATCCACTATGTCAACAAAACTGGAAGGTTCATAACTCAAAAACACTGGATCAGCAGGTAAATGGCAGATCAGAGGGAAAAATAATG